AATGGCTACAATCGTATATTGACTCGTATATTGACAGGAAACTGGCAGAGGTTCAAGCCGGATTCAGATGAGGATGTGGAATGAGGGATATCATTGCTAATGTTACATGTATCTTGGCCGAAAGCAGAGAATACCAGAAATATGTTTACTTGTGCTTTACTTATGCAACTGAGGATCATGACAAACTGGATAACATTGTGAAGAATGGCTATGCCAGAACACCTTTCCTGATTTTAAACCATTCAGTATTTCCTTGTTCTGTTCAAACAACTGCCCCTTTTTCTATGTAAGGCTTCTCATGAAGTGTTTGGGAATTCCTATTTTTCACAGTGTTTTCAGAAATAATAAATCAGGAGATACTATTAATTTGCTCAAGTAATAAGTCCTGGTGTGGCACTGTAATATAAGCACTGAACTTGTAACCATAAGGTTGGCAGTTCAAAACCACCTTTGAAACACTATACAAGGTCACTATGAGTCAAAATCAACTCTGTGGCAAAGAACAAGTAATAAAGGCACATCTGGAACAGCAGCTATAATTAGAATGACCATCTAGACATGCTTATAATAATTCACTGGCATTTTCCAAGAGTCATCTATTTTCTGTACAAACCAGACAATCTGAATGGGGATGCGTAGGGAATCACCAACTCTGCATCTTTCAGTTCCTTAATGGTGGCACTAATTTCTGTAGTGCCTCCAAGGATGTGATAATGCTTTTAGTTTACTAGTTTCTAATAAGAGGCAGTTTGAATGGCATCCACTTGGATTTTCCTACCATAATAGCCCTTATTGCATGTGTCAGTGATCCAGTGTAGGTATTCTACCAGTAAGTCTATTCCAATTATACATTCTGGAACTAGGGAAACCACTAGAGGATGGATTTGGGAACCTACTGGACCCCACTGTGAGACAGCTTAACTTGACCTTATATACACCTACTCTGGTTGGTTGACCACAGTGATGTGTTGGGTTTCCTCAAATTAATGCTAGTTTAAAACCAATGTCCAGTAATTTTAGAAAAATATGATTATTTCTTTCTCCCCAATGAACATACACTGTTGTAAAAGACCGTAGACCCCTAAAGGTAAGGTTGAGACAAAGATTAACAACAGTATATGTTTTTGGCTGTGCAATGGGGTCCTTCCTTAAGAGGACCCAGCCTCCCCTTTATTCAAGGGAGTGTAAGTCTGGGAATTGATTGAGGGGTCTGCGACTTGCTAGTGTTTCAAGTTAGATAGTCATTCACTTAACCTTGAATTCTTCCACTTTTACTGATGAAGTAAAGAGTAGATTTTCTATATAGTAGATCTATAGTAGATTTACTATAGGACACCAGGCCTAAGTAGCCAATGCCATAAATCTATACAAGTCACACTATTCTGATGACCGCTTCGACTCTGCGGTCCATTATGGTAACCACACCTATCTTATCCTTGTGGATTCAGTGCAGCCACTTGACCCCTATTATCAAGGGATCCAATCAACCCCATTGTAGTAATGCATGTATTAATTCAGTTAGCGCAGTTCCCATACTCAAATATGACTTAAAGCAGTAGTCACAGCAGTCTTCAAGGATTTAGGGTCCCTTCACAATTTTTTCCTTACTGTTGTGATAAAAGTTGTGTGCTCTGAGCACACTTTGTGTGGGTCTGTTAAGTCCATTCTAACATATAAATTCCCCTAAACCTCTATAAACCTTTTTTACAGGTAAGTCTGATGTTTCAACCTGATTTAGTGTAGATCACCACTCAACCTAGGAGTCCTGGTGTGGTGCTGTTGGATAAGCACTCCACCACATGGTCAGTTTGAACACCAGCCGTTCCCCTTAGAAACCCTATGCAGGGTCATTACCGTTCAGAACCGACTTGACGGCACTTAACAACAACAATGACCACTTAACCCACGCTTCAGTGAATAAACGAAATAAATTGTAAGATCTTTTTCTAAACTTTCAAATTGAACCATTGAATTAAGGATCTGCCCATATCAATAAATTCAGACTGATCCACCTTAATGCTCTTTGCACCATTATCTTACACTTTCAATAGCCATTTCCACACATACTCCCCTGGTTTATGTTTGTATATATTTGAAAAATCAAGCAGTTCTTTTGTAGTGGAATGTACCTCATTCTGGGTCATACTTTGTACTTCACCTCTTAGGGCTTTCTGGGTGGTGGGGATGAGTCTTGGAGACATTCAGTAATGTATTGTAAGGCATGTAACTCAGCTACCACCCCAAGCCATATTCCAGGTGATAATCTCAGACAAAGACTTTTCCCCTTCCAACTGATTGACTGCTCACATCAGATAACAAAATGGAGGACAACTATACAATATTTGTCAATCTGTTGAGAATCATGGCTGACCCATGTTCACACATAACTTTGACCATCACACTGATCTCCTTACTGACATCAGCCAGAACACACATTAAAATATATATATATATTTATCAGCTCACCATTCTATAGCTCAAAACTTTCACATGGGTTTTAAAAACAAAGCCTGCCATCCTAACCATGACCTCTAAGGTCCTATTCCTGTCACCCCCTGCCATCCTCCAGATCCTAGCTGCTAACATTCTGTCACTTGCTTATTCTGGTCTAACATTGTAATACCTCGCCATCCCTTACATAGAAGTACACTGACATCCTCAACCTTAGAATGTTCTTATCCCATAATTATCTTTTGCATAACATTTTTTAAAAAAAAAAACAAAACAAAACATTGACATGTCTTTTACTTTTCACTGTGAATTGGATGAAGGTTTAGAGAACAGATCGGTTTGCTATTCAGCAATTCATGCACATTTTTTTTTTTCATCTCTTTGATTGCAATCCTCATTCTTTATTCTACTTCCTCCCTATGTTTCTTGTTTACCTTCCTCCTTTTCTCCTAACTCTTAGAAACTTTGTCCTTGGGTAAATGCTGCCCTTTTGATCTAAAATGGCTGGTTTCTAAGGTCTGTATATCTCACTAGTATTATTGTTGCCCTTATAGATCTATTTATTGTTTGGATGAATATTGAGCCATGGGGGTGAGTTCCGTTCTAGACTTAAAGGTTGACTCAGGGCCATAGTCTCCAAGCTTCACCAGTGTCTATCCAACCAGTAAGCCTGGTCTTTTTTATGATTTTGAGTTTTGTTTCAAATTTTCTCCCACTCTATCCAGGTCCTAATTTGATCCCTATTAGAGCAGTTGGTAGTGGGAGCTGAACGCTATCTAGTTCTCTGGTTTTTGGGTCATTAAGATTGATGATCATGTGTCATTAGTCCATTGTTTTCATGGGTCTTCAATTGTTATTACTCTTCTTCCCTCCAGACAGTGAGAGACCAATAGTTGCACCTTAGATGGTCACTCATGAGCTTTTAAGTCCCCAGTCGTTACTAACTAAAGTAAGATGTAGAACATTGTCTTTGTGGACTATGTTATGCCACTTGACCATGGTATCTCCTGAGACTATGGTCCTGAGCCCCGAGCTCAACAACTCATTCTATCAAGTTGTTTGGTTATGTTTAGGCAGTTTTCTTAACTCATTTCCTGTATGCTCCATATTCACACCTATAAATAGTCATGTACAAATAGCCTTTGTCAAACCTATACATATATATATTTGGGGTATACTCCCTCTCTTATTCCTACAACTATTCATCCTGAATGTCTATCCATGCCTCTACCTGTAGATCACCACTACTACTGTGTAGATCACATTATCACTGTATATATAACAGGACTGCTGTTGCCTTTAACTCTTGTACTCCTCTCTGTGTCTTGCCCCTATATTTTTTTTTTGCTCACCTTCCTTTTATTATATATTGTCTTCCCCTTCATCCAAGTTAACACTAAGAGTCTTGGTAGTGTATTGTAGGATAAGAACAGAGCTGCTAACTGCAAGGTTGGGGGTTCAAATCAACCAGTTGCTCCTTAGAGATCCTATAAAGGCTTGTTATGAGTCAAGCAACTTGCTGGCACTTAACAACAATAATCCTCTAGCTAGTGAGTTATCTTCACTTCCTTCCCAACCCTGGTAATATTCAAAGAATAATTCTTTCTGTGTGTAAACCTTGCTTGATGTTTTACAGTAGTTGTTAAGTGCAGTCAAGTCATTTCTTACTCATAGTGATCCTGGTCTGTGAGTTTCTATATAGGGTTTCTGAGGAGGAGCTGGTGAGTTTGAACTACTTACCCTGTGGTTCGGGGTCCAGGGCTTATCTTACAGCACCTCATACAATATTTGTCTGTTTGTGATGGACTTATTTCACTCAACATAATTCGCTCTGTTTTACCCATTACAGCAACATTTTACTTTACATTATGGATTTATTTATTATTTCTTTTATAAGAGTACAAGGGCAATGAAGGAAGTTTTTTTGTTTTTGTTTTCTAGTCTCCTAAATTACTCTTTTCTCACATTATGTAATTGGTAATTTCTAACTACTGTGGAGAATGGATCTTCTCTAGAAGATAACTTTGTAACTAATAGAAGAAAATTATATATTTTCATTATAGAAATATACACCTTTGTGTATAATTTAGTATGTTTTTTTTAATCTTCTAGAATGAAAATAAATGTTTTTGAGGTCTTACTACATGACAGTGACTAAATACAGCAAATTTAAAATTCCAAGTGGCAGCTTCTAGTCCTTTGTATTTGTGGGAAACAGATAAGGAAATATACAGTCACATTGCACTGAGGTAAATGAGAGAAGCTGAGGATTGAAAAACCATCTCCCTTCGGGCTCATCTTTCAGGATTTATAGATATCGACCACCTTCACATTTTTCCCTTACAGCTTTCCTGTGGAATTTGTGATACATGCATGTATGTGGGTACGTACATGCACATAGACATGTCTCTCTGTATCTCTTCTTGACAGTCACCTCCCTCTCCACTTTTTCAAGACTGTCTCATTTGGAAAGAATACTTTTATGACAGCAGTCATTTATCCGAAGGCTGTAAAGTCTATTAAAATGTCCCACCCACCCCCATGAGTACCTGGTAATGTTGGTGTAACTGTAGAACTGTCTGTCTTCACCCCATGGGCATGTATTGAGTATGGCCTCGTGGCCATATTTTTAAAGATAATTTTTACTGTGTCTTTTACATTTGCATGAATTTGCGGACCTGGAAGAGTGAAAATGAAGAGCAGCTTTATTTTCTTGTCAGAAGGAAAGTTCTAGCTCAGTTATAAAATCAGAGATCTGTTAACTTTCTTAGCATGAAGGCTAGAGTCTATGATCCTTACCCTAATGTTTCAGGCTGTAGTCAATCTTGAATTTTTATATAATCCCTGAGGGTTTGGAATACAAATGCTAGAAATGATTGTCTCTAAAGAAGGAGACTTTAGGCATATCTCTTATCAAGAGTTTTAGGGAAGGTTTTGGCCAGAAAGCCTCCTGCAAGGTCAAAGTCTAATCATGGTCAATCTGCTTTGGCCCTACCTCAGTCAGCACTTGCTTTCCTTACCTTCCTATGGCTTTCCATACCTTCCTAGTATGAATTTAAGACATGACTATATTTGAAGGAGTCCTGGTGTGGTGCTGTAGGAGAAGCACTGGACTTCTGACCACAAGGTCTGTGGTTCAAACCCTCTAGCCACTCCCTGGGAACCCTATGCAGGATCACTATGAGTTGGAACTGAATTGATGGCACTTAACAGCAGCAATAACACTGTATTTGAAAGTGTGGGCTTCTCCTTCTATTTCTAGCCCACCCTCCCAGTCAACCTCAGCTTGTTTCTACCTGGTAGTAATCCAGAAACAATGCTTTTTGGTCCAGGAATCCAGGAATCCAGGAGTCCAGGATAAGCCCTTGTGGGTTCTGGGTAGGGGTTTATGCTCTTTGCAGTTGGTGGTTTGTAAGAAAATTTCCAAGGCTAGTGTTTGACATTCTATCTTAAAGTGCTTCCTGAAAAATCTAAAGCAGCTTTTCCCCTGTCTTGTATGCAATAACATTCTTTTCCCTTGTCATATTTCTGATATGGCAGTTTTTCTTGTAATCAGTCATACTTATATCTTAATTTTAAAAAAGTGAATAGATAGCTATGATCATTTAGCTTTTGGGGAGGAAGGTAATGGAGAAAATTTGGTTAAGAATTCCATTAGAAAGTAGTTCTTTAGGTATTTAAACAAAATATTTTTATTTTGGTTTGTTAAACACCTAATATATAATTTCATTGGTATGTGGGCTAGCACACTGTTTTTTACTACAGTTAAGTAATATTTATTATGCCATATTCCTTAGTACATATATACTCTCATCTTTTATAATTTTTATATTTATTGAATGAATAGCTTTCATATACGAATTAAGAAATGCCCATGGATACAGACTTACTGCTACTGCACATAGCATCACCTCACATTCCCACACTTTTTGATTGGAACTATTAACGTACCTAGGATTCCTAGATGTTCTTCTTCCGTTTTTCTCACCACTGGAATGCTGAACGTGCTATCAGTGTATTGCCGATACACAGCTTTCTTGTACTTTGAGCCTATATAAAACTCTTCCTTATCTAAAAATGCATTTGAAATACTTAAAAGAGAGAGAGAGAGAGAGAGAGAGAGAGAGAGAGAGAGAGAGAGAAAAGATTAGTACTTGTCTTAATAAAAGTGAAAGCTTTAAGCTTTAAAGTGTGAACAAAAACTTTGATATATTTTTCACAAAGAGTAAAACTTAACAACAACAACAAAAAAAAAATGGTAGAAAGTGCACCTAACTAGTAGTGGAGCCCTTGGAGTCTTACTTTTCTGACTCTACTACATCTAAAATGACCTCCAGCAACTCATAGGTTATGCTTTTTTTTGTTGTTGTTGTTAAGTGCCGTCGAGTTGGTTCCGACCCATAGTGACCCTGTACAGGGTTTCTGAGGGTGTAAATCTTTACGGGAGTCGAAAGCCTCATCTTTCTCCCGCAGAGCGGCTAGTAGTTTCGAACCGCTGACCTTAAGGTTCACAGCCCGATTTGTAACCACTACGCTACCAGAGTTCCTTTGCTTTTTTTTGTAGTTGCTACTTAATGGAACTACCACTCGTCTGTCAGTTTGTTGTACTGTGGTGGCTTGTGTGTTGCTGTGATTCTGAAAGCTATGCCATGGGTATTTTAAATACCAGCTGGGTCACCCACCATGGACAGGTTTCAGATGCGCTTCCAGATGAAGACAGACTAGGAAGAAGTAGAGATGAACTACTTCTGAATATTTAGTCACAGAAAACCTTATGAATAGCAGAAAAACACTGTCAGATATAATGCGGGGGGTGGGGGGGAATGAGCCCCTCAGGTTAGAAGGCACTCAAAATGCAAATGAGGGAGATCTGCCTCCTCAAAGTAGAGTTGACTGTGATGATGCAAATGTTTGATAAGGTAGAGGTTCAGAGAAAAAGAGGAAGAACTCCCAGTGAGATGGATTGGCAAAGTGGCAGCATCAGTGGGCTCGTGTGTGCAACAATTGTGAGTTTAGCCCAGGACCAGGCAGTGTTTCGTTCTCTTGTGCATAGGGTTGCTGTGAGTAGGTACCGACTTGATAGCACCTAACAACAAAAACATTTAATGGAAATCTCTCTCTTTTTTAAATTCAGCATAAATCTTACATCTGAAGGGGAAACCTAAGATCCCAGCTGAACAAATTGGAAATCAGAGCCTGGGGAATTACTTTTGCTCTTGTAAATGATGCAGCTCCTTTTCCCATGCCCTGTGTGGGGAGTAATCCCATTCCACCTCTACCGCTGCGATGTAGTAGATCCTTTCTCCCATGTAGTAGGTTGAATCCTCAGACAACCTGCTGCATTGGTTCACAGTATATTTTTGCTTCATGCCGCCTGTGTAATGATCAGTTGTGAGGCACTCAACATCAAAAGTCCCTGGAGTAGCAGATAAGAAAGCATATCACTTCTTTGTTCACTGCCCTCTATGGCTCTCTGCCTCACTCAACACCAGCACCCTAACGTTGGCCTCTATTAGATTATTTGGCTCATCATGCCTCTCTGATCCCATCATCTACCACACACTCTCTTGCTCCAGCTGTATCAGCTTCTTTGCTATTTCTAGAACACATGCCAACCTCAGGGCCATTGCACTTGCTGTTTTCCTTTCCAGGAACACATCTTCAAATACCCATATCCTAACTTGATTCAAGTCTCCTTAATTGTCATCTCAGAGAATCTTGACTGTCATCCCTTCCTCAGTCACTGTTTTTTTTTTTCTGTCTTATTTTTTTCATAGTATTTACGACCACTTGACATATATGTATTCATTTTTGTCTGTCTCCCACTTTAGAATTTCAGTTCCATGTGCGTAGACTCTATGTCCTTTGTTCACTGTTCTATATATGTTCATTGAAGGAAGGAAGGAAAATGGGACACTAGACCCATCTTAAGTTTTTTTGTTTCTGTTGTGTGCTGTTGAATTGGTTCTGACTCAAAGCGACCCTCTATAAGGTTTCTGAGACCAGTTGGTGGGTTTGAACTACTGACCTTGTGGTTACCAGTGCAGTGCTTGTCCTACAGCACTACACGGGGACTCATCTTAAGTTTTAGTGGTATATAATTAACTAAATAAAGCCTAAAGAAAGTTAACTTATTTTCGTATTTTAGTTAAAATTCTTACATTTTTGTTTTAGCTTTTTTTTTCCCTTCATGTAGAGCCAGGCTTGTGGAGTCTCTAATTTTGCATGGTTATAGTTCTAGTATAGGAATTTCCATTGCAAACATCCAAGAAGTCAACAGTAAGATCGTTAGTGTCTACACTACATCTATAAAGAAATGATGAAAAGCTGAGATGCATAGCTTTTAGAGGAGTCATTTCCCTTCTAATCTGATTTGCCAGCTATTTTTAAATGGACCAGACTTTAAAAAGGGGATTGTAGTGAGAATTCTACTATATGAGAATAGAGGAAATCACAACCTACTTTTTTTTTGGGGGGGGGGGTGGTTCCCACACCCAACAAATAGGAAGTGGACCTTCTGGTACATACTTCAGTGGACAACTGATTCAGATTTGCGCTTTCACAGGAGGGAAGGGCACTGGGGAGACTTGGGGAAAGGATTATCTTATCACCCAACATGTTCTGCCATAGGATTTTTAAGCAAAACCACACAAATTCATTCAATAGAGATTTGATTTGCTTTTAAAGAAGTATACCTTCAGAGTCGGGCTGCATGAGGAGTGTTAGGGTTGTATGAGGGAAGAGATTTGCTGTATCTCTCCTTTCTTCTTTTGAAAGATACGTGTTCCCTGAAAAGTATATCCCGTGAATGTCGGCCTCATTGCCAGCACTGAATAGGTACCAAACAACGGAATCTTCTTTGCACATACTGAGACCAGGCTGATTCCCGTACATGAATCCATTAATGGCTGGAAAAGTTGGGGAAACATTTGAACATGGTTTGTTATATGTCCTACTACATGACAGTCTTCCAGACTTCCAAGAGTCACTGTGTTTTAATGATAAAAAGACCCATTTGGACCTGCCCCTTTTTTATGTTTGAGGGATATCTGTAGCTCCTTTCTGTACGCAACACTTAACACCTGTACCAGAACTCCACCGCTCTCTCTGGCTCCCTGGAAATCTCACTTGGTTTTTCTCTGCTAGCCACTTCTCAGTTCTTCCAGTAATCATAGTAGTGAGCACCCAAATCTATGAATAAAAACAGTTTTCCTGGGTACCATAGACTGAGAATATGTTTGTTGTTTCAGACAGAGAATTTATGTGGTTGATTTTGAGCAGGGAAAAGTATATGTAGGAAGTTTTCTTTCAATACTTTTCCAATATATAATATTCTTGACACCTCCCAAACACAGAAATGCAGAGTCAAAACATATTTTAAAGATTGTGGGTAGTGTAACTAGTACATTTCTAGATTAAAACAAGCAAAAAAAAATTGTACAGCACCACTCTGTATGACAATTTTATATTTTTTCTTCTATATGCTACAATGTTGTCCATAAATCATGTGGCCTTTTTAATAATTAGCTCATTGTCTCTAACCCCTGACCATATTTTAGAATTAAACTGGGAGATGAAAAATAGATCTAATGCTGGTCATAAATCAAATAAAAATCTCTGGGTGGTCCTGGACACTGGTATTTTTTAGCTTCTTTGTTGTTGTTGTTGCTGTTAAGTGCTGTCGAGTTGGTTCTGACCCATAGCAACCCTATACAGGGTTTCCAAGGAATGGCTGGTGAGCTTGAACTTCCGACCTTGTGGTTTAAAGTGACTTTGAAGTCCAGCACATTAACCGACAATGCCACACCAGGACTCCTTTTAGTTCCTAGGTGATTTTAATATTTAGTTATGAGTGAGACTCACTGAAGTTTTTTGATGGCAGAGGCCTTATCTTTATGCATTTTGAAAAATAAAATAAACCTGTAGTTATTGAGCCAGGTATGAGGAAAACATCAAATTCAGTAGTTCTCCAAGTTAAAGTGTCCCATGAAACTCATCTGAGATTGTCAAACACAGATTGCTGGGCCTACCACCAGAGTTTCTGATTAATAGTTTGGGGTAGTGATTTGTATTTCTGACAAGCTTATATGTAATGTTGAATTGTTGGCCTAGGGACCACACTTTGAGGACCACTTATTTACTCACATGTACATATAAAGTTATTCCCAATTAAGTGAAATGATGAGTAATTGATATATTCAATAACCAATGATATTTTCCTTCAGAGCACCATTATATTTAATCCTACTGAAAATCAAGGAACAAAGCTCTTTGAGGAGCATTTGGGTTTTAATTAAAGCACTACATACACAGTACTGAAAGAATGTAATAGATTGCTGGGTGATGGAGTACTTACAGTGCATCTTATTAGATTCTTGAAAGTCTGCATCTTCCTTATCTACCTGATCAGGTGCAGTTGTAAACATTCTAATATTATCATCCAGGAGTAAACTTTCATTCTCATCAAACACTGTGGGAAACAAATAGAACTCCTTGTCTACACCTTTCTGTAAATCACAACAAGCACAATGTGATGAGAATAAGGAAAGCAGAAAGACTTCCATATACACAATATTGTGCAAACACAAACACACTCATGTAAGTTATAGAAATTTCAGGTCCTCTTTGTAAACAGAACAAAACCAAAAACCCAAACCCCCAAACACACTTCCATCAAGTTAATTTCAACTTACAGTGACCCGACACAGGGTTCCTAAAACTATAGATCTGTACCGTCTTTCTCCTATGGCGTGCCTGGTGGGTTTGTACCATTGTGGTTAGCCCCTCAGCACTTAGGCCACTACACCACCAGGTTCCTTTGTCAAATCAGGCTCATGAAATATTCGATTTGACCTTTAGCATTTTTATTAGTATGTGTGTAATTTGATAATTTGAATCTCTAAATCTAAACATTTTAACTCTTCTCTCCCTACCTGCCTGCTCTTCCTACTCACACTAGTTAAAACACCCACCAAAATTAAGAACAAAAAAAATAGGTAAAATGGGGATGGTGACATGAATCTGTGCTGGAAATCAGGGAAGGTGCCATCCACATTCAGGAAAACTCGAAGTGTTCCTGTAAGCCTGAGGCAGGTGCAAGCAGATTGAGGGAGGAATCATCTAAGTGGAGAAACAGTCTTCCAAGTGATTTGGAACAAGGCTCCACACCATCTCTATCTATCAAGACAAGCATGTTCACCACACCATCCCATACTCATTTCTCCAGTAAAAAATGAGGAAGCAGAAGAGCTGTCTGCTTTATTAAATGATTCAGTAATTCAGAAGATCAGTCTGAGGAATAAAAACAAATGAGCCCCTGAGAACAAGTCACTTCCTCAAAGCGAAGACAACTGTTAGAAATAACACATTCTCAACAGGGCTCAAGAGATGACTACTTGTCTTTTTCCTGTGATCATTCTTTAAGATGAAAAGATTTTAAAAACCCAACAAAGATAGAGATCTGAAAGTTTGATCTTGTAGAAAACAGAATCAACAACTTGGAAGATGATCTTAAGAAAGCAGCCATCAGAGGAAAAAATGCAAAGATGGAAAACATCCATATAGTAGTAATTTTAGAAACAGGAGAATTGTGAAACAGGATGATGAAATAAGAAATAAATGTTTTCCTCCATAAAACAAAAAAAGACTATTCAGATTACAAATTGATAATATAGAAAACTATACCTAAGCAAGTTCTTGTAAAATTTTTAATTTTAAAGAAAAAATTTCAACAATAATCTTTCTTAAAATGTTATCATAAAATAAAATAAAAATTGATTGACAGATTTTTCAAGTACACAATTTATTGTACTCAAAAAAATCTGTCAATCAATTTTTTTTATTTTATGATAACATTTTAAGGTGTTATCTTAAATGTCAGAGTGAAATGGAGTTTAAACCACATTTTGAGGAGAAAAGATTAAGATGCTAAAAATCCATATTAGATAAAAACCAAAACAGCATAAAAATATTTTCAGATGTATAAGATTCCAACCCCAAGCCTATTGTCATTGCACCCTCCTATACAAAGGAGTACAACTGCTCCCTTGGGTTCCTGAGACTGTAAATCTTTGGGAGCAGGCAGCCTCATCTTTCTCTTGTGGAGCAGCTGGTGGGTTTGAACTGCCAATGCTTAACCCACAGCACCACCAGGGCTCCTTAAGATTCAACAGGGGGACAGCTGTCTTCCCTTATTTCTGATCTACAGCAAAAACACCAATGAGGTACACAGGGTATTTTCTTATTGCAAAGTTATAAAACAAAATCACTGACAAAAGGACAAAAATGTTAAAAAATTCAAAATACTATATTTGATCCAAGTAATTCTTAAGAGAAAGAGGAAATAAAACTGATTTAGTAAGTAATAATATCCATGAGTCAAAATATATAGAGTATAATTAAGCATATAAGCTAAGAGCCTAAATATATGTAAATACCTAAAATTTTTATAAAAATAGAATGAAGAAAGAGGAGAGGAATTAATAAAGGTAAGAGCAGAATTTAATAAATTAAAACATATGATGGCTAAATCTAAATAGACAAATCTAATAAAAAAGAGAACCAAAATATACCATATTAGAAATGATAAAGGAATATAACCATTTATATGAGAGAGAAAAAACATAGGACCAGTTGTTGTTGTTGTTTAGTGCCATTGAGTCCATTCCAACTCATAGTGACCCTGTATAGGGTTTCTGACAAGCAGCTGGTGGATTTGAACCACTAACATTGCAGTTCAAACTGACCTTGTAGTCCAGTGCTTATCCTATAATGCCACACCAGGACCCCAATAGGACCAGTATGCACAATAAATATATGATGAAAATTGCACAGTAAATATATAATGAAAATTGGCTCAGAGAAAGACATCTGCATATATCAGTGTCCACGATGAAAAGGAGTCCTGATGTGGCACTGTAGGATCAGCACTGGACTGCTAATCCCAAGGTTGGTGGTCAAATCCATTAGTCACTCCTTGGAAACCCTATACTGGGTTAATGTGAGTCAGAACTGACTTGATGGCACTTTACAGCAACAACAATGGATGAAATGAAACTGATGACAAAAATAAAAGCAAAAACAACAAAACATATAACTACTCTTAAATAAATCACAAAGTCAAACTCATTTTACAGGCACATTCTTTCAAATCTAAGGAGCAGATGGCTCCTATTTATCTAAACTTTGCCACAGCATTGAACACATGGAAATGTTCCCAGGATATTTAATGAAGATAGTATGATTGTGATGTTAAAACCTCAACAAGGAAGAATAATCGAAATTAATCTCATAAATTTAGGTGAAATTGAAAACGATCAAATTGAACTCACCAGCCACTCCACAGACACTCTATACAGTTTTAGAGCTCCTAGTTTCTAGTAATTTTAACGCATAATCAAAGATTTAGAATAATCAGTGATTGGACTTCTGGTGTGGCACTGGACTGCAAACCACAAGTTCAGTAGTTCAAACCCACCAGCTCCTTCTCAGAAACACTATTTGTTGTTGCTAAGTGCCATCGAGTCGGGATCTGACTCATAGCGACCCTGTACAGGGTTTCCAAGGAGCAGCTGGTGAGTTGGAACTGCTGGCCTTAATGGCCCAAACCAACATTGCAGTTTACCGCATTAACCAGAAGCATCACACCAGAGCTCTGGTAGCATAGTGGTTACTAATCGGGCTGTGAACCGCAAGGTCAGCAGTTCGAAACT